TGGCCCCGCCCCCTACTAACTTTTTTGTACATATCTGGAAAACTACTATAGCTATGTCAACTAAACTGTATAGGGTCGTTTCCTTCAGGCATTTTCATATACAGTTTAATAATGGAAGAAATCGGATAATAACCACGCCCACCTTCCATACAAAAGTTATGTTGAAAATCACTAAAAGTGCGTTAACCGACTAAGAAAAAACGTCAGAAACACCAAATTTTACGGAAGAAATGTGAGAAGGAAGCTACATCCAGGCTTTTTTTTTTTAAATTGAAAATGGGCGTTGCGTCGCCCACTTAGGGACCAAAAACCATATATCAATGAAATTCGGTATATAATATTTTCTTAACTCCCTGATGACATGCACCAAATATTTATGAAATCGGTTTACAACCACCCCTGAAATCTCGATTATCACATTATCATGCGAGAGTATAAAATGTTCGGTGACACCCAAACTTAGCCCTTCCTTTCTTGTTAATTTAAATTTCGCGCGAAAGCCTATTCGTTGAAAAATTTTTTTTTTCTAGCTTGAATCAAATTTCTGGTGCCGAAACGTTCAGAATGTTCGAAAATGTATTTGGAGTTAATTGTTTGTCGCGAGCAAATGTTTATGATTCGTAAGAATTATACCAAGAGGATCGAGAACGAGTTACCGAAAAATCATATTCTGGATTACTAGGATGTCAGGAAACATATAATTAATAGGGATGGAAACAGTTGATGAAGAGTGCGAGTTTTGTTGCAAAGGGAGCCAAATGGAACGAAAAACCACGTTATGTTGGCAGTTTTCCTCGATTGTCAAAGTGTGGTGTACTCCGAAGTCCTTCCGACTAGTCAAACTGTCCACAAAGAAGTACTATTTGAGTTTCATACATCGCTTTTGTTTAACAACTTTCGAAGTGGACTAGCTTATCAAAAGCGCCAAGATAAACTTAACTATTTTTTTGCCGATGAAGCTCCATCAAGGGCCAGTGTTGATAAATTGTATGGTGAATTCAATCGATGTCGTATAACACTGCAAGACAAATTTCATGAAGGTTATTCAAAATCAGTTATTGTTCCGCCAACTATTGATGCTGTGTGCAAACTGCAAGAAAGTCATGTGATCTATGCTGTGATTGAGACAACAATGGGTATTAGTTCATTTGACTGTACAAAAATTTGTTCGCTTCGCTGGATCCCAGATAATTTGTCAAACGTTCAAAAAAAAAATTCAGGTGATAGGTGCTGAATCGTGGATTTACGCGTATAAGCCCGAATTAAACAGAGTTCGAATATACATATGGATGTTTAAAAATGAGCTGGATCTAACTAACTTGGACTATGCACTTCCAAACAAATGGCTGCATTTTTTTATGTATAAGCTGGACATTTCTTTGCCAGTTGTGTTTTAATATATAAAAAAAAACGAAGACTTATCACTCTTCACCACGACAACGCGAATTCTCACAGATTGACTGAAATGCATTTTTGAGCACTAAAAACCTCGATATGATTAGTGATCTAAGGTATAGTCCTGACTTGGTACCGAATTACTTCTTTTTTTTCACATACCTATAAAACTCTAAGTGTGTTCAACGTTTTTGGGCACCTGAAAATGCGGTTGATGTGCTCAGAATGCAATTTTTGGAGATACATCAATCAGTGCTTGGTGCATAAGTGCTTCTACAATTAGTTCAATCGCTTGCAAAAGTGCATAGATCTTAATGGAGATTATTTTGAAAATCAATAAAGCAATATTCTTTGGCTAATATTGGTTCCTAAATATAAAAGTTAATCCTCGTATATGTGAGTAGTTATGTTGAAGCAAGTTATGTCCCCCTTATAAGAATCATATAAATGATATTTTCCAAATTTCGCTTGGATTCATTTCCCCTGAAATTGATACGATTTTCTAAATCTTCATCGTTGTTTAGTGGCTAATTTGTGATTTTAAAATACTTTTTGCGCCCTAGTTAAGGAGAATGCAATTTTGTCCTGATTTTTAATTTCATTTCTAATAAAATTTATTCATATATACCATATGTATGTATATTAAGAGATACAAAAATATCTCAATTTGTACAAAAAGGAAATTATAAACAGGCAGTTCCTGTAACCATATATTTTCTTTGAAATTCCGTATAATCATTTGGTTTAATATGTCAAGCGAGATGACAGCGCCAGAAAGTCCTATCTCACATTTGTCTCACTTATCATTTGATTCAAAAGCATGTTGAAATTTACTACTACTTTCGCCCTTCATCTTAATTCAACATTTTCTTTTCTATACAAAATTGTGTAAAGGTGAAAACTTCGTTTCGATGTAGGTAAACTAAAAGTTCTGTCTTGGACAAACACTCGTGGTTATGCAAATCCTACCACTCAAAATTTTTAAGTATTGTGCATATGTGACTACATTTTATAGCAGTACATTTTTCGGTATAGAAATTTTTTACCTAGGAATTAGTTAAGGACATGTTATTAAGATAAAATATTAAAAATTAAAAACAAAACACATTCAGATAAAGATAAATCAAGTGAAAGATTGTGAGCTTTACAAAATGAGCTCGAAATATAAGAGACTGACAATGAAAAAATAAAATTTTTAATTTTTTGAATTTAATTTCATTTGCGCTATATTTGAAATTAATATTTTTTTTTTAACACGAAGATTAGT